TGGGTGTCACATTATAGAGGTGTGAAGCTGTTCACTGCCATGTTTAAACTTGGTTTGGAAAGCATCTGTGAAATTTAAGACTTCAGATAAAGCGAAACATGCAAATTGTGTTCGTGATACATGCCATGATTGACCATTGTAAGAGAAATCCAGAGTCAATGCATTGGCATTGTAAAGGTAGCCGACATTGTAGATATATCGTGTAGGGTTGGCATTACGGTTGATACGCCAGGGTAGAAAGGCTCTGATTTGATCAGTCGGGTGCAGGGCTAACTCAAGATGGGAAGAGTGATAGAAAGTCAAGCTGGGGAACCTGATCGGACCTTCAAGGAAAGTGGATTCGCTAATCTCGGGTAGATCAGCAGTCTGAGCGTGTACACCAACAACTCCACCCCGGGTACAGGTAGCCACATATCTCAACCAGTCCACTGGGTCGAGAGCCAGTCACTGATCTCACACAAACCAAAACCCTAGCGTGGTTGGAACCTTTAACCCAAGAATGCCCCTTGAACCAAACTGGGTCCCAGCAAGCCCTGCAAGCCCGACCAGCCGTCACCAGAGCCCCAGCAACCACGTCTCGGGCCAGCCGTCACCAACGGCCCAGCAACCACGTCTCCGGCCAGCTGACACCAGAGTGAGGCTGTACCGGACAACGCAGACCCGGCTTTTCACGGACCCCTGATTGCCTGTAACACCCGCCACGGGCAACAGGGGGCATTATGACTGCGGCGCACTGGGCCACACCGACCAAATCACGTTTATTGTCCTCCAGTCTCACTCCCAATTGTCCCATACTGTAAACAATGGCAAACAAGTTGATGAAAGACGCGAAGTTGATCCCCCTTGTATAACTACCAGAAACTTGAATTTACGCTTATCTTGAACATGACGTCATGTCGAATAATACGTTATATCACCAGAGAATCCGGTGGTGAACCTTGACCTCAGGTAATTAACCCTTAACCCCTGGACATCAAGCGGCCCTGGCTACCTGGCTACCTGTCTCCATGTGTTCTGCACACAGGTAGATCATATTGGTAGACTGAATGTGTCGACTATGAAGGTTTCGTTTGCTTGTTTGTTTTAACGCCGCTTTCAACATTATTCCAGATATGACGGTGGCTAAATAGTCGAGTCTTGACCATGATTGATACAGTAAACTACGGTTATAACGAACTCAAAGGGACTACTATTTTTAGTTCGTTATAACCGTAGTTCGTTATAAGCATATATACAGCATAACTACAGCAAATAGTCGGGACTAAAAAGTTAGTTCGTTATATCCGTCAGTTCGTTATAAGCGTGTTCGTTATAACCGTAGTTTACTGTATTGTGAACAACGATCCACACCGTCGGGGTACGATGACACGCTATCAACCAAGTCTTTGAGCCTGACCATCGATCCATTTAGTCGCCTCTTACGACCAGCATAGGTTGCTGTGGACCTATTGTAACCCGGAATCCCCACGAGGTAGAATATCTAGGTAGACCACATAGATGGACTATTTAGGTTGACACATACGCAAGTCCACACAGACTGCCGAGAAGCGAACCACGGCGCACTGCTACCAAACGATGCATACATATTAATGTATACATGTCTTCATTCTGAATCGAGCACCTGTTCTCGCCACAACATATAGTCTCACACTTCGTATACCTAAAGTGGACAGCAAGGCTCTACACTACATGCATTAAGCATTAGACTCCTGTTGCTGTCAATCCAGCGTATGCAGTGTACCGAACATGACATGTATATTGGAAATCTAGTCGATGTGTGCCAGACATAACCGCTGTTTTGCTCGTCAGGGACAATTTGAGCATATATTTCCCCTGATTTCCTACGTGTATAAAGGACAAATTATGTGTCTTTTACATATCAATGAGTCTGGCAGCAGTAGATATCACTGAATCGGACATTAACACGGGTAATTCAGTCGGGCGTTAATACTTATTATAGGACGGGAATATAGACATATCACAGTCGGGCATATAGGACATATCACAGTCGGGCATTTAGGACATATCACACAGTAGGACATATCACACAGTTGGGCATATCACATAGTAGGACATATCACACAGTCGGGCATTTACGACATATCACACAGTGGGACATATCACACAGTTGGGCATTGAGGACACGGAGCTGCATGATGGGGGCGCTGTAAGGACGAGACAGCGCTATTTTTGTGTGCTATATATATATAGGGTCAAGTCTGTTGTTTACCCAGTGGCTGAAGGGGTCAGGGCAGTATCATTCGTAAACAATATGTGTCTAAGCTGGCCATATCTGTGGTGTACCTATCGGTCTGATGGACTAATGTGTAACTTTATTGGTCGCAAATATATAAATATGGCGTACACTTATAGGCGAAGAAAGTGATGATCTCATATCCCATATTCTCATATCCCGCATGTCCTTACATGAGGTGCCACGGTATTTTATCTCTTACCCCCTCCCTCACCATCTCACCATCTCTCCATCACTCACCCCCCCTCTCCCTCACACTCACTTTCACACTCACCTTAAAGCTTAATTCTACAACTTATAAGCTTAATTCAACAGTAACTACGTGATGTAAATAAAGTTTGATCACGTGACCTGCTTCACCGCTGTTTCAGCTACTGGTGATATCATCACGATATATCCCCAGTCACTCAAGCAGTTCATATTTAGCAACTCCGCCCCAGAGCCCCGATATACCGCGAAAAAGCCCCTTAAACAACCCGTTCCGTTTTAAAAACGTGATAAGTTTCCGTCACTTAATGGACTTCCGTCGCTTCATCATTTCAGGGAGTGTTAAGACTAAGTCCCGGTTTTACCACATACTCAGTATATATACTCAGTACCCCGTTATATGCATGTACATTCGACACACCATTCCTGCATTTCTATATCTTAAATAACCGAAGATCAAGGATGAGATTGTTTCAAATGAAGAGGGGAAAGAGATCCCCAGGGCCTGCCCCTCCAGTGTTACACACAACGCTGGCTGTGAGAATGTTTAGCGCCACGCCTTTGGAGGCGCGCTATGGTCCGTTGCATGTGAATACTGGTTGATGTATATGACACTACACCCGAGTGCATGGGGCCTGGCCCTGTGACGCTCCGTAACTCACGACACACAGACCTACCAGGCATGGAGAATGCATTATCTCGTGTATGGCATCTCAGACCTGACACATCAACCGGCAATGCTGGTGGCAGTTCACTCAGGACACTATATTGTCAGACATACATCTTATTTAGTCACCAAACAATTAGCTAGCACAGATACCCTGGCTAAAGGTGAGCTAGGACTTCGGGTACGTTCATGTGTCAAGTTGTTTCTGACCACTGTCCAGGTTAGATACATTGCCAACAGCAATATCACCAACAGCAACAGCAACGTCACCTACAGCAACATCATCCACATCTACATCACCTACAGCAACATCACCTACATCTACATTACTAACAGCTTCATCTACATCACTAACAGCTACAAACATCACCCACAGCTACATCACCCACAGCTACATCATCCACATCTACATCACCCACAGCTACATCACCCACAGCTACATCACCAACAGCAACATCACCTACATCTACATCACCCACAGCTACATCACCCACATCTACATCACCCACAGCTACAAACATCACCCACAGCTACATCACCAACAGCAACATCACCTACATCTACATCACCCACAGCTACATCACCCACAGCTACATCATCCACATCTACATCACCCACAGCTACATCATCCACATCTACATCACCAACAGCAACATCACCTACATCTACATCACCCAAACATCATCTACATCACCCAAACATCACCCACAGCTACAAACATCACCCACAGCTACAACCATCACACACTACAGTCATCACAACTATCACCTAAGCATCACCTACAGCTACATCACCTACAGCAAAATGACCCACGGCAACATCTAAGCCTACATGACCAACATCTGTTTCATCTACAACTGCATCCCTTAAACTCCATCACATCCACCTACAGCCAACTTCAACCGTCACAAGACTTCGTCAACATACACATGCTCGAGGACCCAAGACGAGTATGTCAAGCCATAAAGCTGCACCAGGTCCCTCCGAGCTGGCGGGCTGACCAGTAGCTCCAGCCCAACGCCTGCATGAGCTGGTCCGCATGTCAACACGAGACATTCCGAGACGTCCAGAAGCCCAGAGACTGTCGGGACACTCCACACACAGAGTGGAGAGACTTTAATGCGCTGCCTCGTGTAATACCACATCCTGTCTGGTAGTCTTTTCGATATTGCCCCGTGAAAATCTATATGCCTTGAAACCTATTTGATATTGCCCAGTGAAATAATATATATTGCCGGTTAAATCATACGATACTGCCCGGGGATCTATTCAATATTGCTGGGCGAAAAATTCGACATTTCACTGTAATCTATTCGATAATGCCTCGTGAAAATCTATATTCCTTGAAACATATTTGATATTACCCAGTCAAATATTATATATTGACCGGTTAACCATTCGACATCGTCAGGTGATATAGTCCATATTGATGGGAGAACTATTCGACATTGCCCCATGCCACTCACGAAATACACACATTTCCCAAAGCGTTAGAGACCAGATGGAGAATGACGATGCTACTTACTAGCCAATCAGCAACACTACAACAATTTCTCGGTAGCCTTTAAAATATCGACTCTGGACCAGACAAACCAGTGACTGAGCATGAGCCCCCATATCCAACAAATGATATCCAAACTTGACCGACGTGAGACAAGGAGACTCGTGTGGAATTTGTACAGCGAAGTATATAATAGGACGAATACTGATGTAACCAGCGTCTGTGTGTTGGATTATAGCAACGGCTAAAGCCTTCTAAGGGTCATGTTGTGGTAATAATTCTAATGCCACACCGCTTAAACACAAAACGAAATAACTCACCCATGTACTCCAACAGAATCACACATTGTCACATTCAATGTAAAAGGATACATTCCAACATTTCTTTGATATTTTTTATAGTGTCCGTTTTGTAGAATCTCTTGAATTCCCTCCTGAGATCGTAGAAGGAGCCACAGTAAGACTGAAGGGAGATGTTCTTGGTACATGCCTCCGGGTGCAGCAGCTGACGTAGATGGTTCTGACCATCCGTCACAAAACAGAATGTCCTTGACCCGTGGTCAGGGTGGGCACCTTTAGCACACAGGAACCGGTCAAACTGGAAAAGAGAAACCATGTCATGATTGGGTTTGCAGGATTTCTGCCATTCTGTGTGCGCAAACTTAACTTTACATTTAACAAGGATATATAGGTCACGTGATAAACTAGCCGATAACGTGAACAGCTGACCTGTGAGAAGTAAACATATTCTTATATTCAAACACTAACTTGTCATTAAGATAAGTGATAATTTGTTTGCATATTTTAAATAAATAACTCTTTATAAAATTTATTAGTGGAGCGTACCCAAGATTTTGGTACATAATCCTCTAGTCTTCAGGAATGCGCATGAAAGAAAAGCTGCATGACTTACGAGAAGTAACTACAAATTTATTATGAAAACAAATTACCCGAACTAGTACCAATACAGAAATAATAAAATATTAGTAAATTATTACCTACACTAGTACAAATACAAAACACAAAAAATATTACCTGAACTAGTACTAATACACAAATAATAAAATATTACCTACACTAGTGCCAATACACAAATAATAAAATATTACCTACACTAGTACCAATACACATAATAGAATATTACCTACACTAGTACCAATACAGAAATAATAAAATATTACCTGAACTGGTACCAGTACACAAATAATAAAATATTACCTGAACTAGTACCAATACACAAATAATAAAATATTACCTGAATTAATACCAAAACACAAATAATAAAATATTACCCTGAATAATTTAGCCTACTCTTTTATGAATATAAACAAAAATAATATCACCACCTGTATAGTAGTGATGACCTGACACAACATGAATGCAAATAAAAAAGTGCCAAATATTTTTTTGAATTTTGTAACAAATTATACTGAAACTATAATGCTCGCATATTGCGAGCCTGGAATCGAAACAAAGACATTTTTTAGACTTCTGTTGAAAACAGTTTGCGAGTGTGTCTATTGGTCCTAGCAGGTAAAGCCACATATTAACGCTAACTCCCACTATGACATATATTTACGACCACACGGGATAGGTCATTTACGTTGTGACATAATTACTGCATATGTATTATCTAGCCTGTTACTGTGGATGTGTCTGTTTGTTTATATGTACAATAAAGTGTCACAACCTATACAACAACAACATACGGTATGTCAATCGTATCGTGTACATTACTGTAAATGTTTACACTGCGAATTAGGGTAAGCCGTATAGCGAGGCACAGTATAGCGAGGGCATGTTTTAGTGATCGTATGCAGGTCTCGTTCATGTGGAATAAACATTGTATACTACCAGGTACCAGGTGCCTATATGTCCCCATACATCGGATCCACGTGCATGTCAATTAGAAGATAAAATCGAGAGACCAACATGGATTAAAGTGATAATATAGACGACTTGAATTTATGATCGGCTACAAAAGTTACATAAATTTGTTTACACAAGCCAAGGAGTATACGTCGATTCTAGTGGAATGTGTGTCGCTGTTGAGTTGCTAATGTTTCAATATTCTCCCTTGTACAATGAATGAAAGTTCAACGAGCAAGTCACGTGACACCTACACATGGCCGTGTGTGCGATATTCTCACAAGTATCAACAATCCAACAACACACAAAATTATCTTGAAAAGTGAATGTTTTTGATAAAAATTATTTCCGACTCGTAATTGTAACGTTCACATATGCAATTTCATGAAAGTTATATGTAAATCGATCAGCTGAGGCCATTGAATTATAAGTTAAGAATCTACCATATGGTAGCTCAGTTTAGTTTCTCTCTAAATGAATACAGATTTGCTTAGTATATGATTAAATTACAGTATGGTCACGTTTCTACATCAAGGGGATTGTTTACTCTATAGTTAAATACTCTCATTACCTGTAATACACACTCGACACTGAGCAAAATGACTAATTTGTAGATTGACGATCAAACATTTATCAAAGTTGTAAATAATGGAGTTAGTTTCTAGGTAGGTTTGGGTTGGATGTCGAGAAGAAATCAGATCCTTGGCTACAGTGAAAACATCCCTGATACTGGGAAAGTTTGAGATACTTATTTGTGTACAATAGGAGACAGGTGTACGTGAATGTAGGTAGGTAGGAAGATAGTGTTATCAGTGGGAGGTGTTGATGTTATATTTGTGGGGGCATGAGAACCTTGCGTCTGGAGTTGTGATAACGACCTCCCCTCCTGTGTCCCCTTTCCTGTGCCCCCCTCCCTTTCAACGACTACTACACACTTCCACTGCAACGTCGCAGGCTGGAGCCTAGCGCGATCGATATCCGTGCAACAGGTTGCATGGCGAGATACTCGGGACTCTTATAATTAATCGCAGCACAATGTGTCCCCAAAACAGTGTCAGGCATGCTAAGGCTAGTTTTTCCTTCTGTCCCATCCATGCATCTTTCGCCTGAGCGTCGGTAAGATCAAAAAGAATACCTGTAATCAACAGGTAGGGCTAGCGCTGTGAACGTACCTCCTCCAATACATGGTCCAGTGACTGTCCGTTTTTAACAGCGTTTTCATCTATCCCAGTTTCTGTCTTGCAGTCTTCAGTCAACAAAGTTTCCGACAGTTCGTTAGGCTGTGGTTTCACATAGTGATGTTGAACTGCAATCACCTGAAACAAACGATAGAGGTAGAAATTGGGCCCGAGCAAGGGGGGCTGGGTGTTACGGAGATGGTCCCAGATGGAGGTGAGTGACACTGACAGACTTCCCACTGACTCACCTTGTTATTGGTGACATCAAACAACAGGTAGACGAATAACACAATCTGTTCCTCATCCGAACCCAGTTCTTCTCCATTCTTCCCAGCTGAGGCGCAAAACAACGCTACCAGATATGGGGCCATGTCCCTTGCGTCTTGCTAACTGACTAGAACTCGAGGCAAGACCACCACCAAATGTTTTGTTATACTTCTAGACCATGTGCCGACACTCAACTTTACTGGCCACCCTCTCGCTGATTGGTGCAATACATTGAACGTGGCGCTGAATACCCAATGCGCGCGCACCTCTGTCAACTTGTACCTGACAGGTATGTGGACAGGTCCCAGCTGTTACCGTAGATAAACTCGGGGATTTCACTTTCTCTAACCGTAAACTTTCCACAATTCAATATGGCGACGTGTTTCGTCTGTCCCGAATGTCGTATGTGAGATGCTTCTCCTACCTCGGCACTCAGGTAACTGATCTACCTGTTGCGTCGCACAGCGCCTTATAACGAGCGCCCGTCATTTCCTGGACCGGTTGGGTTAGTTCGTGACCTCAAAAGTGTCGTCTGCTACACAATAAACCCTTCCCGGCAGACGACATCCGACGCAGTCTGGGTTCAGATCTAACAAGTAGCCTAACCCCAGGCAGAAAACTTTCACACCTCTTAAGTAGTGAGGAAGATTAGTTTTAACGTGAGTGAAGTTTATTTAGTGTTTGGCATGGTTTGTTATTAAGCTAGCAGTGCTCTATGGCTGAGAGCGTTCATATCACACCTCGGCCGACACAAGACAAAACACAACTCGCGGTGATGTCTCCTTACCATGTGGTATTGTCTTACACTCCATTACACAGTCTAATGTAAGTGATAAACAAATAACAAACTACAGTTAGAAACACTTTTTGCATGCCTTTTATTAATTTAACTCAGATTGGACGCAACGAGCGTCAAATAAACACAGCGGAGGGCGAGTCATAAATCTCACTTCAGCAATACAATGAAAAGCGTTTGCCAATGCAGTTTTTTAGTTCACATACATGTAAAAAGCAATGATTAGATATGTTGATTCTAATCTCGATTGTAAGTTCCAGCAATGTAAATGTAACAAAGTCACTGACTTGACACTAGTCGCGGTATGGTCGTCCACCGTTTGGCTGGTGCAATATGGAGGACGTTTAGACTTGTTGCTCCTTGAAACCTTCTCATGTATAAGATTTTTGTTCTCATAAACCCAAATCCAACTTTTACCCCAACCTGCGATATCACTATACGTCATAGACACATGTCGGAACACATGCACTCTCCGGTTTTACGTGTAGAGATTTATATGTGCATCTTCTATTCACAGCTTCAAGAAATACCTTGCTATCGTTTCATATACTATTACGTATATGTATGCATACAGAGGACATTTTTCTGTGTCTAACTAAAGACATCTTTTATGTCTCGGATTTCTTGTTTAATGTTGTGCTCTATAATCGTGTTTATATGTTTAACCTCCTTAGAGGACAAGTCAATACAAAATTAAGTAAAACTTATTTGCATGAAATATCTTTATGCGACGATATTGATAGAGATCGTTGAGATATATAAAATATCACAGACATAAGGCGGACGGAATGTAGAAATCCACATGCACATGTTGGTAACCACACCACAGCTCCATATTTTGTATAATCTGTACATCTCTATATCTTATACTAATATATTATTAATATATCTAATACTCAGTTCTTGAAAATGTATGCACACTGAATAATATCTACAAGTCACAACTTAAATGTATCTTTATAGTACATGTACTATGTCCAACAATGTAGAACATCACACGCCAACACGAAGGCGATGTTTTTAACTACATATCGACGGAGAAAAACGCTTGGCACGTATTGACATAAAGATGCAAGAGCCACTAGCATGAAGATGTCTTTGATGTGGGATATGTCATCATGTTAATTTACTAGTAAATACTTCGTCTTCGGCAATTCCGTTAGATGATATATTGTGTTTCAACTGTAAGAGTTTCCTACCGAACAGACCAGGGCAAGTTCTCACTCATGCGCACTAATCTAGTTAAGACAGTTTACTACACAACCGGTAGAGGTCACACTATACAAACTTAGTCTACGTATGTGTTAGTTTTTTTCTTTCTAATCCGTTTTGCCCGAGGAAAGAGCTTATACTGCTATAATTCAGTATCGCTAAGCCCCGATAATGCCACGACCAATAAAATGTTTTTAGAATAACATTAATTGCTATTCATAGTCGGTCACGTGACAGCCCAAGGGGCGTGGCCATAAAGCGAAATGTCAGCTTTTACTCGCTACAACTGACAGCTTTATTGAGCGATAATAATTCAGACAAATAGCAGCAATCTATTTTATTGGACAAGTAAATAAAATTTTATGTAAAAACCGGCTTGCTTGAAATGTCATTATGCGGTCATATGGGTGGATGTATTTGTAAGACAATAATTAGCATAAACAAAAGGCAGACAGAGTCTGGGGCCCCGAGGGTACGTTAAATATGCGTCTCTGTCAAACTTCAGGAGCTAGGTATTTCAAGTTGATTTAAAATGTTTATTTATACACTGCGCAGCACTAATAACAGTTTCAGTAAACAGATCGTCGTATGACTGCATGACAAAAGGTCACATTAACCTCAAGTTTATACTTTGAAAATTAACATCGAATCACATATCTTTTTTATTAAGTGTAACAAGTTAAAAAAATGTTTTTGAAATGTTATATTTTTGTATCAACGAAAAACAACATTGAGTGTAGAACCTTACATTTCATATAATTTGCAAAAAACACAATTACTTAACACTGGCGCATTTTCCAAGTTCATTAGTCTGCTAACTTATAAACTGAAAATATACACTCATGTATAAAAACACTCACGGAAAAAAGAACGGAGAAAGAAATGGTTATTCAATGGTGATGCATTTGATACGGGTATCACAGGCGATATGACATGCATCATATCAATGAGTATGGCACAACAGGTCAGTCTAGTAACGTGTTGATAACGTTCGTATTTTTTGGGTCAAAATCCAATTTTCATGTTTTTACTTTCTTTTGCAGTTTAGTACAAACATTTTTATTTAAACCCTTTTATACTTCCGTTGATGTATCTTGTATTCTCAGATGCTATAATTTTGCTCATTCGTGACCAACTCGTGGTATTCCGGGACAAGCCGAATAGCGTCTTCTTGCAGGTTACGGAAAGGGGCGAGGGGTGACGGATGCCTTTTTTGATAATTTGACATATGGGTAGCCTAAATATTACTGATATATACTCAGACAAGTAAAGCCAAAGGGTTATCTAGTTTAAAAGTTTGTCCTCTTATGTTTCGGAAAGATACGTTTGCATGATTAAGATATATACTTCACCCGTTTCACTTAGGTGAACAAACTATAAATTAAACTGCATTAGTACGAACCACATCTATGGGTATAGGGCTCCGGGCGATATTATTCGCCAAACTGTTTTCATATTCGTCACTATGTTCAGTGATTCTAGACCTGAAATATTCTCGGTCAGTGGTCCGTATATTATTATGCTTCATTTAGGAGAGCGAAGACTTAACAACACTATACCTTGCCTGTGTATTCTAAACCCATCCTCATAAACAACAAAACCGCCGCGAAAACCTGTTATGGAAATGGTGCCGCATTGCGCCGGGAAACCTTGCGCCCAGATTACACCTGGAGTAAAATAAGTAATTTCACCACGTCATTAAACGTTAATTTCTATACTACTTATTACAGCACAGCCGTGATTCTGATAACTACATGCGCAGACGTCAGATGGGACGATGATGAATGCTCTGCCTGAGACCGATCATCTTACTCATTATAAGTAGTTTCGCTGTTTGTCGTAGCAAATCACCAAGAAGCAGACATGCGCAGTAGCTACGTGACACTCGACCTAGTACCGAGCTCAGATGTATTTTTCCATTTTTTTTATTAACAATTTCACTAATATAAAGAAGTTGAATCGTGTAATCATTCAAACTTGATGAACCTTAATGACAGAGATATATTACGTGTGTCATACCGAGGTGACGGCTATGACTTGTAGCTTTTAGCACACCTTGGAATGCGTGTAAATACTTTAACCATTAAAATATGTCTTGGATTGTATTACTGGCTTCTAATAGGTGTTTAGAATAATAATGATGATGATGATGATGATAATAATAATAATAATAACGATAACAATGATAGTTTTATATAGTGTCACGTGCTATATACGTGCTGTAAATCAATACTCATTCACAATATTTAAAATATGAGACACTTTTATAACATGTACATGGCATTTAAAATAAATTGATTATGCTAATTATAACACATGCTAGAATACATTATAACAAGATACACTCGGATTTATACAATACATCCATGCAACAACACCGCACCGCACCGCACCGCACCGCACCGCACCACACGACACCTCACCGAACCGCACCACACAACACCACCCAACACCGCACCGCACCGCACCGCATCGCACAACGCCGCACATCACCGCACCACTCGACACCTCACCGAACCGCACCACACAACAACACCCAACACAACACCGCACCGCGAATCACCGCACTGCACCACCACACCGCACCGCGCCGCACCATCCACCCACACACCCACACGTGGCTTGCACGAGATCTTGTTCTACATAAAACACGTGTAGGTTGCACGATACCTTGTTCTATGAAATACATCGCAGTTTGTACTGGATCTTGTACTATGAAATACATGCGTGGTGTGCAGGAGGCTGTGTGCTGTTCGGGGCACAGGTGGCCCAGTCGTCTAAGGCGCCGCGATTCGCTGTGCAAAGTTGTGTCCCTTGGGCATGTCAGAAAACTTTGATCATGGGTTCGAATCCCGGTTCGCCCCGATTATGTTTCTAGGTTTGCCAGCACCATACCCGTGCTCGTGGGTTTCACCGAAGAGGTAAACGTCCGAGACCTGCATCACTTCGGGCTTTCCTCCCTCATTAAGCTGACACACAGTGATATAACTGGTATACTGTTAAAAGCGGCGTTAAACCCAACTCACTCACTCACTGTGTGCTGTTCAATATAGTCATGGTTCGCATGAACCCTTACTCTACGCTATATACTCGTAGTTTGCACACGAGACGTTAGTCAATGAAACACGCGTATATGAGTGAGTGGGTGAGTGAAAATTGAACACCAGTCAGCATTATTCCAGCCTTATCACGACGGCATATGAATGATGGAGTCTGGACCAGACAAACCGGTGACTGAACACATGAGCAACGATCCACGACATCGGAGCCAATGATGCCTTTGACGACAAGTCACGGATACACGAGATCTATCCTTCCCCAGAATCCCCATGTGGGAAAATGCGTGTGAATTGACAGAGACATTGCTGTGTGTGCTATGCGCGTGAT